AGTGTAATACAATGCTATGTTTTAAAGCAAAATATTTAACCTTAACCTTTCTATAAATAACAATAAAGTTGTAGTTCATTCCTTACTCTGTTTTTGAGATAACAGTCTTTACTGATTAATGCAGTATAAAGTTAAGTAAAACAGGGCTAGTTCTGAACATTAGAAAGTTACACTATTTTGCTTTGTAAGAAGGTAATTGACAGCAACATATATTTAACAAAGTAATACTTGAAGAAATATCAATTGCAGATGTGAGCGCCATCCTCACATTTAAGATTTTCTTTGAGGGCATGAGAAAACATATGCAAACTGCTTTGTGCCTGGCACATAGTAAGTGTTTACAAAAGGTATTTCTTATTTTTAATGCTGTATTAAAATCTTTTTCATTATTGTTACTTTCCCCAAATCATCTCCTACATTCTGTTGAGCACTCTACTCCAGATGCACTGATTTTTCTGTATTTGAACATATCAACAACACTCTCATCTCAGAGCCTTGAAATTAATGTTTTTTCTTCCTGAAACCTTTCCCTGCAAATATCAACATAGTTCCGTTTTTACGTTATGAGAAAGAATCTTACTGTAAGTTTCATTGTTTTAGAATCAGGATTTTCCTTATGCATAAACATTTCCAAAGAAGATTCCATACCACAGATGGGTTTGTGTTGAATGAACCCTATCTGAATAGTTTTGTTAAGAAAGCAAATACACTATCGCGTATCTGTTTTCACAAAGGGCAGAGGCCATGTACATGAAGCATATGATCTCTTGTTGAATAGCCAGATCCCCAGAGGACAAAATGACATCATGATTATAGGATGGCTGTAAAATCACCTCTGTGGCCATAAATGTGATTCTAAAGTCACTGTGATGAACAACAAGGCAGGGCCTGTTTTTGAGTTCACCAGTTAAGTTAAACAATGATTTGGGCATTAATTAATGGTCTATATGGGGACAGGTGATATGGAATACCCGAGGGTGGGTAATCTATAAAGAAAATAAACTTATTTTTGCTCATGGTTCTGCAGACTGTACAGGAAGCATAGTGCTGGAATCTGTTACTGGCAAGGCCTCAGGAGACTTACAATCATGACAAAAAGACAAGGGAGAACAGGTGTGTCACATGGTGAGAACACAAGCAAGAAAGAACAGGAAGTGCCAAGTTTTTTAAATAAACAACTTTCCTGAGAATGAATAGGGTGAGAACTCACTCATTATTGCTAGAATCGCACCAAGGTATTCATGAGGAATTTGCTCCTATGATCCAAATACCTCCCACTAGGTACCACTCCAATATTGTGGATCAAATTTCAACATGAGATTTGTAGAGGCAACATCCAAGCCATATCAGTGAAAGACTTATTTTTTTTTATCACAAAAGAAGTAGCAACTCATTTGCTTCAAATTCTTGAGTCAGATATCTTGGCTTCTTTCTTCACTAAACTAGTGCAACCTCTGTGGAAAGCAGTGTGACGATTCCTAAAAGCTCTAAATACCAACCTCCCATATGACCCTGCAATCCCCCTACTGGGAAT